TGAGATTACTCTATCTCAAAACACAATTGCTTTAAAAGGTTTTGTTCATGCTTTAAAATGAGATTAAACTGACGTTGAAGACACCTCACACGTGGACGGTGCACATTGCTTCTCGAGTAATTGTCTTGTCGCTTTCTCCCAGAAATATCTCCTTCTCTAAAGAATCAGCTACAGACCCACTGAGAAAGGTGATCTGTCACGAGTAGCACAGTTCACATATCCAATAAAAAATTGACACGTGGAGATATACGCCACGTGGCATTGTCAATCTCAGATCACTTATAAGTGATCACTGACTGATAAGATTTGCCTCGTGAAACTGAACCGATCATCGACCACTTCACTCTTTCTCTGCTCTTACCAGATGGATACTACGATCCGAATCTCGAACGGAGCTGAGATTTTGGTGCAATGCAATTCCTTGTCGAGCCTCATTGGTCGTCGCTGCGACAATGGAAGATGGAGGACGACTAGGATGCTTCCGGCGAGGAGCAGAAGGCCCTTTCCATCGGTCAAATCTGTCTCTAGCGAGCCCAAGGAGAAGGTCGCCGCCGATGCACTTATCGATTCCGAACAAGGTCCGGTTTCTCCTTCTTTTTTAGCGTAAATGGTTCTAGTACACGAATTAGGGCATGTAATTTGTTGTTGACAGTGAATGCTGAACAAAAACCCTTAATGATTGAATCAGAAGCCTTTATCTCTGTGAGCCCGTTTGCTTCAGATGCTGCTTCGGTTGCTTCGAGCATCAAGTACCACTCGGAGTTCACGCCTCTCTTTTCTCCAGACAAGTTTGAGTTGCCAAAGGCTTTCTTTGCGACTGCACAGAGCGTTAGGGATGCTCTAATTATAAATTGGAATGCAACATATGAGTATTACAACAGGTTGAATGTGAAACAGGCGTACTATTTGTCAATGGAGTTTTTGCAGGTTTGATTTGACACTCTTCCTTTTTTTGTGTTTGACTCTCACCAATCTTGTGCTTGCTTATTATCTGCGTATCTCCCATTGTAGGGTAGAGCCTTATCAAATGCAGTGGGTAATCTTGGCCTTACTGGCACTTATGCTGACGCTTTGAAGAGGCTCGGCTTTGATCTGGAAAACGTAGCTAGTCAGGTGATTATTGTAGATTGATCTATGATTTACTGCAAAATTCTACGAGCTGGTTGTCTTTGCGAGTCTGTGGCTTGGTTTCCCAGAGCCATTTGTCTTCTTTATTTGTGTTGAGATGCTAGATTCTTCGCTTCTAATTTGTAGGAGCCAGATCCTGCACTTGGGAATGGTGGACTCGGGAGACTTGCCTCGTGCTTTTTGGATTCCCTGGCAACTTTGGACTATCCAGCATGGGGTTATGGACTTAGATACAAGTATGGCTTGTTCAAACAGAGAATCACAAAAGATGGACAGGAGGAAGCTGCAGAAGATTGGCTTGAGGTCTTCCTCTCTTACTCTTGTCACCATACAGCGTTTGTTATTGAACAGTATATCTTATTTTGTACTCCCTCAAAGCAATGCTTAGCAGTGGCCATGTATGTTTCTTTCAGCTAAGCAATCCTTGGGAAATAATCAGAAATGATGTCTCATATCCTATAAAGTTCTATGGAAAAGTGGTTTTTGGGTCAGATGGTAAGAAACGGTGGATTGGTGGAGAAGACATAATGGCCGTTGCTTATGATGTTCCTATCCCTGGCTATAAAACTAAGACTACTATCAATCTGCGACTCTGGTCAACAAAAGCTCCTTCAGGAGATTTTGATTTATCTTCATACAATTCTGGCAAGCATACTGAGGCAGCAGAAGCTCTATTTAATGCAGAAAAGGTTGGTATCTTTCTTCTGTCCTCTTTAGCCTGCACGAACACCAATGCTTAGAATTAGAAAATGTCTTTTGGAGGATCCATGTAGTTTTATGTAAAGTTGCTTTCAATTTGTGCCTTTTTCATATCAATCACTTATTACTTCAATTTTATTCGCCCACGATCTATTTACAAATGTCCTTATAGGAAACAGAATAGTGCATGTATCCTACAGAATGAATGAGAACTAGAAACAATAAATATGTTAACACATGATTTAGTCTTGCGTCACTTGTTCTTGTTTATATAATAGTGAGTTTTTGATGTGTACATACTGAAATATAGTTGTTTCTTCCCTTTCTCCCCTAATGGAATTAGATATGTTACGTGCTTTATCCCGGGGATGAGTCAACTGAAGGAAAGGCTCTTCGTCTGAAGCAACAGTACACTCTGTGCTCAGCCTCACTCCAAGATATCATAGCACGTTTTGAGACGAGGGCTGGAGGAAACGTCAAGTGGGAAGAATTCCCAGAGAAGGTTGCAGTGCAGATGAATGACACTCACCCTACTCTATGCATTCCTGAGCTAATGAGGATTCTAATGGATTTGAAAGGACTAAGCTGGGAAGATGCTTGGAAAATCACACAAAGGTACTTAAAATGACTGAACTAATTGTATAACTGGCTCAGGGTACAATTGTCTCTTTTTTGTTCGTATATCTGGTCTCTTGTTCGTATTTGTGTTTCTGAAAAGTTACTAATGTTTCTAGGACTGTGGCATATACAAACCATACAGTCTTGCCTGAGGCACTGGAGAAGTGGAGTTTAGAACTTATGGAGAAATTGCTCCCGCGTCATGTGGAGATTATAGAAATTATTGATGAGGAGGTCATTCCTGAACATAATTAAACGTGTTTTCTATATTTTTTCTTACTGGTCTAATTTTCACTTTCATGTATCGCAGCTAGTTCGCACAATTGTATCTGAGTATGGCACCGAGGATCCTGGTTTACTCGAGGAGAAACTGAAGGCAATGAGGATCTTAGAAAACGTCGAGTTGCCTTCTGCCTTTGCAGATGTGATTGTGAAGCCAAAAAATAACCTAGTTATTGCAAAGAACACCATAGGCCAGTTCGAAGATTCTGAAGAAGATGTTCAAACTGTGGTG